TGAAAACAGCTGTTAATGAACGTATGTAATTTGTTCGAAGTGCCCTTCATGACTCGCAGTCTCTGATCCATAAAATAGCACTGACTTCACATTGAAGTTGAAAATCCGGATCTTATTTTTTATGCTGAGGGATACTGTTTACCTCCACACCGACTTGAAAAAAATGAAAGCTTGACTTGCTTTCCTGATCCTCGCTTTGATATCCTCATCAGTCCCGTCCACCCATAGTTGGAATGATGCTTCCAAGGTAGGTGGGTAGGTAAAGAAGGTTGCCTCTTTCAGATTTCTTCTATTTATGCTGAATGTTGTCTGTTGTTGTTGTTGTGGCCGTGGCTGTTGGCCAGGAATCTTCATCACCTACCTCTGTCTTCTCTATGTTCGCCTGAGGGCCTATTTTCTCAAGATGCTTCTTCTGTCAACTTGTTGCTTTTCACTTGCATATCTTCCAGTTTGTGGGAAATCAGACATATATCATCGGCGAAGTCCAGATCCTCCAAGTCTCTTTTTGTGTGGATCCATTTCATTCCTGTCTTCACGTCGACGGATTCCGTGAGTTTCCCCTTAATGAATTACTTGGCATGAAGCATTGTCGTACAACTAGGAAGAAAAGGTTGTCCAATGCTCCGCCTTGATTTCAATAATTCTCTAGCAGATATCGGTTTGTGATGATATCTAGCACTGGAAGTGACCAAAATGCCTACAACAACCTTTCCCTTGCCCCTCTACACAAAAAAGAAAGATTAATCTGGAAGGTAACTCTGTTATACTCTTCCCTGATTTACAACAACTAGATTCATTCTTCAAATATTCATCTGAAAGCTGTCTCGTGAAAATCCAGTTGACATTCATATGTAAGAGGCAATTTTAGAAAAGATAGAAAAATGCGTTGGTATATGCTGCTGCTATGGGTACAGACTACTGAGTACTCACCATAAAGTACACCCTTGTCAAGTTTTTTCCAGGAAATATTAGCTACGAAATTTTGAATATTATGAAGAGGGCAAAATACAAAGCAAAAAAAGCAATTTTTGAAAAAAGAAAAAGGGCTTACATCAAAATATTCGCCTTGCCAATAAATAAGTGTACCTTACTACTACCGAGAAGTAATCAAACCCACACTAGAAGTTTTTTTATTTTATCTCTCTCTCTCTTGCCTATAATCTCATCCTCAGTTAATCCTTCTTATAACAACAACAACAACACAAAAGTAGATCAAATTACCCAACCAAGATATCTATCTAATAGTGAACTGATTATGGACAACAGTGAATGAATGAGTGGCTGAATAAATGAAATCGATCCTTCTGTTTAATAGCCCCCTCTCTCCCCCCAACCACCACCACCACTATCCATAATATACCTACACTCCTGTTTCTTCTCATGTGACTTCTACTATTGACTTGTCAAATATGATTGACCAGTATCATTAACTACTTATATACTACTTATTTTCAATATGATTATTATCTGATTATTGCTAATATCATTTTATTAAGGGGATAACTATGATATTTTTTGAGTGATTATGGCAGCGCATGTACTACTTACTACTCATGGAATGTGTACTCACTCACTCACCCCACAGAAAAAACAAAAAACAATATAACTTCCTCTTCATCAATTAGGAAGTAAGAGAGTAAATTGTCCTTTTCGTCATTACTTTCTTATCCTCCTATATGGGCATAATGCAAAATAACAAAAAAACATTTTGACTTCCCTAAGTTAACAAGACACACTACTGAAAGATTGCTTACATAGCACAGCTTATTCTATTATCCCTTAAACAAGTTTGATCACGGGATTGATATCACGGTTGGTGAGGGAATCATTGAAAGTCACCAGAGTAGGGAGTACTGGACAGTTGCTTGTTTCGTCCTCATTCGTGACTCTCCATCAGTATTGTGAGTTGACAGCAGTTAGAAGTCACAGGCTGACCACTGGATTTTCTTCTATTGGAACCTGAAGATTTTGGGCTCAGTTCCTCACCATGGAGTGGTGGGTGAATACCGATGAAGAGTCACAAACCGGGACGAAACAGTTGTCCACTAATCCCTACTACGATGGCTTTCAATGGTTCTTTAATTGATGATGATCAAACTTGTTGAAAACAATCAAATCCTTACAAATATAGTAACACTTGAAAGTACTTTTTTAAAATAGAATAGGACTTGAATGACTGTTTAAACCATCGGAAAAGACATAAGATTTGCAAGAGAATAGAAGAACCACCTCTGAATATTCTATTAAATTCTTAAGCAATCCCTGAATAGACAAGACGCTGTAATAAATCAACATGCTTTCCTCTGACAAGTAAATTTTAAATGTACCCTCCTTATGAAGATAAGATAAAAATTGGATAAGGTAGATTTGGGGCTTTACATTTTCGATTACATTCTAAAGTACATCCAAAGCGATACTTATTATGGTGAGTGCTACTTATAATCCGATCTAAGTAGTATATAAGTAGACGAATTCGTAAAAGTAACAATTTGCTTTGGGGCACTGAAAAAAGCAATCGAAGAAGAGAACTGTGAGAATAACGTTAAAAGTACTGTGCAGAATCCAAAAAGCTATCGAATGTGATGATATTCGACCAATTTGCAAATGGTGTGCAAATAAAGCGTTAAAAGATGAGGTATACTAAATTTATGTACTGACAATACATTTATCCTAGAAAGCATTGTCTTCGAGCTCCATCAGACTTTTCTTCTTTACACTATTTCAAATGCTTTGATTCAACTCGCCTTATTATATCTTAGATTTAATAAAATAATTATGAAAACTATTCACAATTATTCAACATAGATTGTCACTTTTCAAATGACGAATTACCACCTAATATAAACAACTTGTAATTCACTGAGAGAGGTGTGCGGGAAAGCAGTGATGTTTACTTTCCCTTATTAAATTTATTTCATTGGAATACGAGGAAGACTTATAAGTAAGTAAGTATACATAGTTAAATGGGAAAACTACTAAACATGTTATGTGTAAAAAGGCTTAAATTCTTGACAAATCTAATATTGATTTACAATGACAACTGGAACATGTGAAATAATACCAGGAACAGTTGTATAAAGTGAGAATAGTAACAGTAACAATTGACATTGTAATAAAGGAAGAGTATACAAATTGAAAGGAAAAAATGAAAAAAATCGGTAGAGCCAAAATATGATTAGGGATTAACATACTTTAGTATAGAGGAATATTAAGATCATGAAAGTTGGAGGGGAGGGGTTGAACGAACTTTTTTCTGTACACAGAGATCTGGGACTTTTCTGTTTCGATAGCCAAAGCTTCAGCAATCCAAATGAGTCGGGTACATAGTAAACTGTAAACTTTTATCAATATATAATTGGTGGATGGTGACTAGCAGTGGAATCCAGGATGCGCATTTCGTCCTATTTGAGACTCGTCAACTGGATGTACCTGCTGCTCCCTTCACTACTCCATACTACAGATCAGATGAACGTCTGTGGCTAGAAAGCATAAGCAACAAGGAACTCTCGCAGTGTAACAAACCAGTCAACAGCATATCACCTAACGATTGGACACACTCTGAGGAGACTGGTGAGAAACAATAGGCACAAGACAGACCGTCAAGTGGAACCTCAATAAAAAAAGATGAATTGCGATTGTGTCCGACAGTGATGTGGTGGAGATCGTGGAGCTAGCTAAAAAGGACTAAAAATAACAGAGTGGAATCCTGATGTACTTCTGAAACCCTACGTTCCACTTGGAACCCAAGAGAATAATAATAATAATCACAGAAGCCTATGATCGATAATCAATAAAGGAATACACAAGAATGTAATAGTTCTATACAAAAACTATAATGGGTTAATCTGTCGATACTTGTCATTAGTGTTTAAATGAAGTAGAATTGACTATGAAAATATAAACGCAAGAGGTAGGCATTAACAAACACCAATAGAATGTTAAACAAAAATTAAGGAATATAGACGTCAAAACCTTTATAGCTTCAGATCAAGTAAACTATTTGACGTGTAAAAGAACCAAGTAACAGATCTGGAAAAAGAGCGGAAAGAGTAAAGTCCTTTTTATCTAAGTTTAGTAAGCAAGAGTGCGTCGTTAGAAGTAATAGGTTTGCTTGACTCCTAGATACTTGACCACTCTCAACCTATATCATCGAGATATTTGCGTCGAGTGAAACCAGCCTACCAGGAAAATGAAAGAAGCTAGGTAGGTCAGTCAAGGAAACGATAAACCTCAATTGCTTCAACTGATCAAACCATTCATTTTGGTCCGTCATCAGGGTGTAACTAGTGACATTTCTCTGGAGTCGTTGATGCTGATCCTAAGTGAACTCTATCAGTCAAGTTTACAAAGTGTTTATCAAAAGCTAAATGACTCATCATGGAAGTGGATATTAAGTTGACTCTATGCAGTTGGAGAATTTCTCCCTTGTCGATTACCTCAAACGACTAAATATCGTTTGGAAAATCCTTTATTGCCAGAAGCAGGATTAGGTAAGAAGAAAGAAAGAGAGTAAAGGTCGATCAGATCATAATTTCAAACAAATCCAGAAAGTCATTAACTATTATTGCGAACCGAGTGGTAAAGTGTAGTTTGAAAAGTTGAATTGTAACGTGGTTGCTAGAATCTATACTTGAAGGTCATAGAAGTTAGAGACTATGAATAGTTAGGGATAGAAAGATAGATAAAAGGAGTAGAGCATCCGATCAAATATATCTAACAGAAAAAACGTCCTAAACCATGAAAAAAGGTGAAGAGATGGTGTATTTAAAACGTGTTTATCACAGTATGCAAAAACGCTTATTAAAATGTTTCTGTAATGGAATAAGACATGCATATTAAAAGTCTAGACGGCAAAAATCAATACTGTACTTAAAACACGAATCATAAAACAGCGGTAATATGAAAGTGGCACTGTGAGATTATGAAATCATAACGTCTTATAATCTCAATATATAAAAACACTTCACACAAATTTCAAATAATACAATAGAATAACTTACCGGTAGTTTCATTTAAACCAAATTCAGGTTGTTTTGTAAGCAGACGATAGTGTATCACTGCATTATCTCCTTCATCTTGGCTGATCGCCTTTAGGCGAGTCAACCTTTCACCGACACGAGCCAGTTCTGATATTTTTATACGATGTGCAGATGTATTTACAAATTGCGGTGGAGAGTCATTAACATCCAATAGTTGTATAGTGAAGGTTGCACTCGATGTAAATGGAACACTAGATTGTGAACGTGAACCGTCTGTCACTAGAACAGTCAGTGTATGCGTACTCTTCACTTCACGATCTAATGGTCGACTAACTCTCAACAGGCCAGTGTGTGATTCAATACTGAAACTGGCATCATGAGCACCAAGAAGACTGTATACCAATCGGTTTGTATCCACTAGAAGTTTGAAAAGGATGAATAATAATAATAGGATAGTCGGTAAATATTATATTCCATCATTTAGCAACAAAAAACAGAACATTTAATAGTATATCTGTGGGGTTTTTCTTTCAAAAATACAGCGTGAATTCGATGATATAGAAATTATAAATAAGCAGTAACGATGACTAATTTTCTATTGGTCAAAAAAATTATCACTGAATGGCTGGCGACCAATAGAATTTAAGAACCAATTAAAATTGAATGCAGCTATTGGTTAACTAACAGAAGAAAGAACTACTACTACCGTTAGAGGAAATAAAATACATAATCGAACATAAAAAGTTACCTCATTCAACAAGTGTCTGATAGCATAAAACTCCTGAATAAAAAAAATAAACACTTTTGGCACACACACACACACACGCAACTGTAAACCAGATGTGACAAAATACAAAGTCCCACAAATCCCATAATCTAAAAATCAACTTCCTAGGTCACTAATGGCCACTGGATGGATGTTCACGAAGCCGTAGTAAGAAGTTGTAGCCAGTGAAGTCCACCAATTCAACGCGAAGTGGATGCTACTTAGGATACCGCTTTATCCATGAGTTGACAAAGTTATGGAATTCATGAGTCATTAAATTCCAGTCCAATTAGCTGAATGGTCAACGAGCTTGGTCTCCAGGCCTAAAGATCACGAGTTCTATCCTTACTAGTGTGGTTGTGGGTAGTAGCGCACTGAAGAGTCCACAATAGAACGAAAGACAGCTTACGAAACCTACATTAAATTCACTCAACTCCCCATAAAACCCATTATCTAAAGTACGAAATAGTGACTACAATATCCTACATTTATTCAGCACTGCACAATCGTCTTTTAAGCTTTACTGGCAAAACACCTACATAATCATTATTCGATAGTCCAGTCTTCGCCGACATTAAAATCTGACCCACTTTTTGTTTTATCACTCTTCATGTAATCTTCAATCTGATTTTAATTTTAATTCTAATCATCAATTTTATTACAATACACACACATTCAACTATTCTGCACACACATGTTTTGGTTTGTTTTGTTGGCTTGCTTGCTTTCTTTGAATAACCGCAGCTTCTGACTAGAGTTAATTCCAGTCGGAAAGTATTCTCCACCTCTCTTTGTGTTGTAGTAGTAGTAGTAGTATTAGAAGTACAGTAAGAAATTTTATTGCTTATTTTATGATTTAATTTCAATTCAGCACTGTGTTTCATCATTAAGAGAAATAAAAAATTATTTAGTTTCCAATGTTGATTGAAAAGAAAAAAGTATATAACCAAAAAAAACGACTTGGTTGAACATAAGAAAAAGTTATTTCAATGTTTGCTTTTTTTAAAGAACATTAAAAAGTTAGTTAGTGAGTGAGTATAATCAAGAGAACTCAAGGAGACACAAGACATAACCACCTGTAGGAAGAGAGGATCTCGGTTAACTAAAGTACGATACTTCAATACGTAGATGTACTTTAAGACCTTTTAAAGTGTTCCACTGGACATAAAATAACTCCGTATTCGTCTTTCGCATAGAGCATAGTTAAATTGGTTGGAGGATTTCCTCATGAACTGACATCAGTTAGAGAACCATTGGAAAACCTGTAGGGAATACTGGACAGTTGTTTTGTCAGCCTAGTTTGGAACTCTTCGATAGTACGCACCCACCGACAGGTTTCGAACCTAGCACCTTCTGGTTGGTTACAAGGCGACAGAGTTCGTAGACCATTAAGCCACTAGGGTCCAATCCAATGGCCAACCTGTTGTACCCTACTGATCACGGATTCCCACTACAACCCCAGGTTAACTGCCTGAATAGGGTAAGTCGCTAGTGAGCATCAGATTAATTTTTAAGTATTGCATTTGTAGGGACTTTTTTGTTTGATTTGGTTGGAGGATTTCGTCATGAGCTGACATCAGTTAGAGAACCAGTGGAAATCCACCTAGTAGGTAGTAGTGAACAGCTGTTTCGTCCCAGTTGGGGAGTAGGACTAGTTTCTTCCAGAACTAGAATGAAACAGCTGTCCAGTAATCTCTATCCGCTTTCAATGGTTCTCTAACTGACATCAATCCGTAATCAGACTTGAATCATATATATATATATATGTTCCTTGAGTATGCGGATGACATATGTGGTCCTTGTAGGTAAAGACACTGATTAAATACAGTCTTGTGAACTCTATAAGCAACAAAAAACCTGAGCGTGTTCGGCATGCGTCGGTGGCACAGTGGTTAGGACTCTGGCCGACCGTGCACATGGTTCGAGGTTCGATCTCCTGCCAACGCCAACCTGATATCTATTGTGGGCCTACGAAATTTGGGCTACCGGTATCCATGCTGAAAATTCCATACTTGTACCAAAAATACAGTGTGGAATTAAGCTGTAATCAAAAATAAATAAATAAATGCAAATCACCTCACCCCCCCACACACACCTGTCAAAAGTAAGATAATGCTGTGAGGTGCCACCGGTTTTCATCAACTTCTAGTTTAAGGATAGACAGTCAAAAAAAAACTGAATATTGCTGACGGCTTCACTTATTATTCGGGAAGTTGCATCAGTCTAAACGAACTGCTTATTAACGAAATCTCAGCAAAAAATACACAACAACAAAAGGCTTGTTTCACATTCAGCAACTTGCATCCCCTTCGGTACGAGTATTTAACACCGGGTTACCAATCATAAGATGTGTCTGTGTGCTTTACAACAGTTTCCCCCATCTTTCTTTACGAGACTTTAAGACATGATTGTTGAGATTAGAAGATATCAAGAAATTTGCGGGTTTTTTTTCAACTATCGATATCTGCGTTCAGATCTTCATCACTCTGAAGTCAGTTTGCAAATCTTCCGCACTCAGTCAGCATAAACAACAAAATTCGGATTTTCAACACCAATGTTAAGTCAGTCAGTTTTTCTATATAGGTCAGAAAAGTTCAAACAAGCTACTGTAGACTTTTATCAACAGCTGCCCTCATCACTGGCTCTCCATACTACTGAAGATCAGATGACTGGCCGGTCAGAAAGGATTAGCAACACGAAACTACGGGGAAAAAGCAATCAAGAACTTATTGCTCATCAAATTATTCTGAAGGAAATGGAGACGAATGGGACACACTCTGAGGAAGCCACCGAGTGACATAGCTTCTGTCTGTCTACATGTCTGTTTTCGACATAGAACTTTGCACCGATGTGCACCAGTTCAAGTCGCCACACTCCCTCCTTGTAGTACACAAAGCAAGAGAAGAAAGTAGAAAAATGCATAATAAAGACAGTAGACAGGGATATGAGACAAAAGGATTAATAATAACGAAGAACAATGTAGTTTCATTGGAAATCATATGTCACAAGGAGTGGCTGCATCTGCGCCATCAATGAGAATGATTTTGAGCCATATCACCAATTGTTTCCAACCACTGGTTTTTACCATCCCGAGGACCCCAACCAGGAAGTCTACATCTTCCTACGTGGCTTAAACTAACTGTTGTGGATTTTGTTGACTGATGAGGCTATGTTTTGGTTTGACCACCGCTAGCTGTTTTCCCGCCTGACCTCATATCAGCTAACATCGCCCGTCGAGGAAGGCAATCAATCGCTAGGCATGCGTAGCACATGTCCTAACCATCTCAGTCGATGTAATTTCACAGCCTCATCGATTGATTTCCCCTCTCACCTACCTAGAACTCAACCGAGGCCTAACCTCAATATTGCTCACCCTATTACACCGACCACTTCACAGGGGAGATAGAGCGCAGGCACCTATGATAGAAGACAGCCAACTAGCCAGACTTTTCATGTCTTCCACTCTCAATGGCCAGGTCTCACAGCCAGCTATAAAGGAGGATGGAGCAGACTGATGAGCAGTACACCCACCCTTTCGTTGATAGCCAGCCGGATATCACATCTACGCCAGAGACCGGCGTAGAAGTGACAGCGTGGTGACATAGAGGAGATCGTGTAAGAACGGAGGAGATGAGTGCTAATGGGAAACCGTGGGGACAGCTTAAAAGGACTGCACAAGACAGGATTAAAATGGAGATGTGTTGCTGAAGCCTTATGATGTCCAACTCAGAACCCAATGGAATAATCATAACAATCGATGTTCGATTTTGCGTGCCAGGTAGTACAACAGTTTAATGGTTGAAAATATATAAAGTTAGGTGTAAAGCTTTGGCAAGGCTGCTCTCACCACACATACACATATTATAACAAACATACATATTAATTAACACCTAATTGTTTAACATCAATTTTCTAAGCACTATATAATAATCACCAAAGTTCATTGAATGAATGAATGAAGCTATGACATTTATAGAAAAAGGAAACAAACAGTCAATTAGTATTCATTTATTTGATGAAAAAAGGTATTTAAAAGTTGGACAAAGACCAGAGAGAGAGAGAGAGAACCATACATAGTTAGTAAACAACCAAGTCAAAAAAAAGAAAAAACAAATAAACACATCGAATCAACGAAAGAAAGGAAGAAAGAATGCCAACTAAAAAAGTAATCAAAAGGTCATCCATCACACAGCGCCTTGTGCCTGAATACTACTGACTCCTACAGACAGCACACATTTTAATACACCTAATCCTGGCTTGCCTAACCGCACACACACACTGATATATTGTATGTAATAATAATTATAATTATAATAAGATTAATATAAAACCAAGCTAATTGAAACAACAACAAAAAGATAAATTTATCAAATTAACTTTGTTTTAAAAGGTAACAGAAGGAGCGCGCGCGCGCGAGAAATCTATTTGAAATCACTGTGAAGAAAATATTCCTGTTGATGAACACCAACACCACAGGTGGATAAAATAGGAAAGGGGAAGAGTGAACACAAAATAATTACGCATATGCTACTTATTACTTAAGCCTGATAATTTCTGTTACACAGAAGATAATATTATGTATCTGTCTGTCTGTCTGGATTCAACATAGAACTTGGCACCGAAGTGCAGCAGTTCGAGTTGCCACGTTCCA